ATGTCGTCGTCCTCTTGCCGTGTAGATACTCATCATATTATAATGTTCACTAGACGCGGCACTGCGGGCCTTCATGGTACGGGCTGCTGCCTTTCCGCGGTGCCGAAGCTCTCCAGAGCCAAGAAATGAAAAGTAAAGACTATCTATCCCCTGCTAGGAGTTTTTGGCGGCCCATGCGCCGTAGGGCACACAACTGCCCAGACAACGCAGATAGTCCTGAGGACGTCCTTAGCTGGTTGAGACGTCTTTGTCGCGACGAAGACGTCGTCGGGGCGTCCGGAGCTAGTCAGGACATTCTGGTCCTTTCAAAGACGTCTTGAGGACGTTTTCAGGTTCCTTTATTTAGGAAGTTCAAAATAAGCCCTCTACAGAATTATTTTCAATAGTACAAAATGTTTCCATGCCGGAAAGTGAAAACAAGACCAGAAGGAGTGCGAAAACAATGCCCGTGCCAGACGGGCAACTCGAATGCCATTTACAACGAATGACATTTGAACGATCGGCCAATCAGCGAGCGACACTCCGAGCGTGGGACGTTCCACGCGCGACAAATCGGGAGCCGATTCGTCGATCAGACGAATGTCATTCGTTGTAAATGACATTCGAGTTGCCCGTGTGGCGCGGGCATAAGAATTCGTTAAGGTTTATTTTTACTGAACATTTTAATTGCGGCCGCCGTAGCCTCGACATCAGCAGCCAGTCGCATCGGTTTCTCCGGAGCGAACAGTGTATTTCGTGTCCTCGCCGCTCAAAAGCTGTGCGCTCAATACCGCACTCCCCGGTAAATGTTCAGTGCCACCAGATCCTCGCGCTCTAAATCTGCTACCGTGCACTCTATGGCTCCGTGAACGAACTGCCAGGCTTTGTAAGTAAAAAGAAAACTCTTAATCGAAGGAAAAGACACAGAAATAAGGACCTCTCGAACTCGGTTACTTCCTTTGCTTTCGAAAATTCTCATACACCAAGAAATATAAGACCGACTACAGCCATCACTGAACTTCCACAAAGTGACCTACAGTTACAACAAAAGCAGGTTACCAGACAGAGAACGCACTCTCATAGCAAGAACACTGGTAACAGGGATGGGCAGTATTTCAACTACAAGTATTTGAAATACGTAATTTAAATACTTTGTGTATTTTGCATTTGTATTTAATTACAAATTGGGTAATGTATTTGACGTGTGTATTTAAATACTAAAACGTGGGTATTTCAAATACAATTGTAATTAAATACAATTTTGTGGGCGCAAATACATCCTTCAAATTTATTGTCACTGTCCAGAGCAGGAAGAAAACTACGTTCTGCACCGAATGCAGTGTCTCTCAATCAAGCACAAGCATTTAGTGACTGTGATTACGGTGCTTGTCCAGGGCAAGAGTAGTGACGAAATCGACATTCACAGGCAGACTGGCTAAGTAAGTGCCTGTGACAACTTGTGACGCTTTCCAGCCTGATTTCCATCCATATTTTTGCCTGGAACATTCTAAATGCGCGGGTCGTCCAAATTCTTGTAACTGGAGCGAGTTGCAACAATAAAAAATTCTCTAGCTAGTGCTGCGCGTCTTGGTCATCTCGGTTCTTTTTTGAATGTAGTCGAAAAAAAAGCTGCTTGAAGCTCTGTACTTTTTTCACTTATTACGTCCAAGCTGATTACATTTTTTTATGATTATATTTCTATTACTTTACTAGAGTCTCGTACACTAACTCCCGAGTGTGCGATGCAAAATGAAAATGAGATATCCAGAAAACAGTTGCAGGTGCCCTGAAGTCGCTGACGCAGATTTTTGAGGAATGTATTTGGAAAAGTATTTGGAGGAGACCAAATACATTTGGTTGTATTTGTATCTTGCACTTAAATGCTATTTTGGAAATGTAATTAGATTTGTAATTAAATACATTTTTGACGAAGTATTTTGTATTCGTATTTCGATACATATTTGCATGTATTTTGCCCATCCCTGACTGGTAACTTAATAGATGCACAAAAATTTAACCTTCGTTTTCTCTCCACTTCTCCCCACCCTCAAAGTGAACAACAATCCGACCTTTATGAAGAAGGACGCGTAGTTTTCAAGACCGACCTTCCAAAAGCCCTACCCTTTTCTCCAAATGGCTCGTCTTTCGGAGAGCTACATCAAGAAGCAACTGCTGTTAAGGTCAAACGAGGAACTTAGAAACGTATGAGGTTGTAGAACGCCTGTGCAATATGGGGCAACCTTTTAATAAAGAATAAGAAATTTAACCCCGCTCCTCATTCCCGGCTCACAGAACATCTGGCTCGCGTGAATTGCCAACCACAAACAGGAATGTGGTAAAACGCTGAGATTTTTAAAGGTGAAGATGACAAAAAACAGTACCTTGGTTCCGGTTGGTTTCTTCTTTTGGAGTCCTTCCGTCACGGCATTTATATATATATATATAAAGTAATGAAGTCGCACTTCGAAACGTTGTTGGAGTTTTGAAGTATTTAGTGAGTCGACGTTTCGGCCTGAGACAGCCCTTCTTCAAGACTGGTTGCCAGAATCGGTTACAGAGTTGTTTTCGGTTTCCACACCCGGAACGGCGTCACCTGTCTGATCACGTGTAAAAAAGCCCAAGTAAAGAAGCCCAAGTAAAAAACGCTGCTGTACTCCCTCCCACTCCACGCCCGGCCGCAGCAGACGCCGCCAGCCATCGGAACCAACCAAAGGCCGCGTCAGATTTCGTGACCCCAGGAACGCCACGTACGGAAGACGCAGTAACATTTACATTGTTGAATCGGCCCAGACGGCCAGCAACGCACGCCGCGGAAGGACCCAAAGCCAAACAAAGCACAGTCAAAAAAAAAAAAAGAGGAATGAAGTAACCGCACACAGTAAATCAACGCCAAAACGCATAGAAAAATCCCCTTCAGAGAAAAAAACAAAAGTGAAATAAGCGCACACAGTAAATCAACGCCAACGCGCATAGACAGATCCCCTGCATTAAAAAAAATGACTGAGAAAAGCGCACACAGTATATCAAGCAAACTCTCGGCCAAAGCACATAAACCAATCCCATGCAACCAAAAAAAAAAAAAATCGTAAATATAACAGTGTTAATCACAGTCCCAGAACATTCAACAATGAGCAACAGGTGGAAGATGCCTGTTGAAGGTCATGACCCGTTGACTCATCGACAGGTTATACAGAAAGGTGCACGGAAAACTTCAAGGGTCGAACTAACGGGATTGAATTAGCTACAGTCACTCCGCTACAGGGCGATCAAGGTAGATTGCATCCATAGATGACATTACACCTGGATCTTCATTAATACCTGCCCGGATTGAATTAAATTTGTAGATAAGATACGATTCTCTCTGCTCGCGATCACGGTTGCTCTTGAAACTGGATTGTAAAAATGTAACGCCCAGTTTGTCAAACGTGTGTTTGGGTAAAGCCATATGTTTTGAAAGGGAAAGTTCGGGAAATGAATTCACATGAGCCCTGTGATTGCTAAACCTCAATCGGAAAGGTGTGCTGGATTGGCCAGCGTACTGCCTACCGCATGTGCCTACCGCATGTGTCAGGAAGTATATCACATTCCTTGTGCCGCAGTTTAAGTTTCCGTGGATTATGTACGTGAAATTAGAATTCGTACTCTCTACCGTGGTTTTAGGTGTCACGTGTTGACACACCTCGCAATTTGTTCTTCCAGAAGGGCGACTGCCAGTGCTTTCAGTGTAAGTTGTCTTAGACCTAACTATGGCGTCCCTAAGATTGCGTGAGCGTCTGTAGACTACTCGGGGAATGGAAGGCATAATTCTTGCGAGGCGTTCACTTTGCTGTAAAATGTTAATATGTTTTCTTAATATGGGTGCGACATTCGGAGACTTATTGTTGAAAGTTAGTACGAGGTTCGCCCGACGGTCCTCTGTCTTAGGGCTCCACTCACTCAACAAGAGGCCACGATCAATGACCTGTGCCTTAATTATCGCATCGCCTATGATCTTTTCAGGCTACTTCTGTTCTTTTCGGACTAGCCGTAATTGACCGGTGTTTGTTTTAAAATCGTCGTTGTTTGAACATATACGTTTAAACCGATGAGCCTGACTATAAGGTATGCTATTTTTGCAGTGCCATGGGTCGCAGTCGTCGCAGTGCAAGTATTTCTGACAATCCATCGGCTTTCGGTACAGTTGAGTGGCCAATTTAGAGTCATTAATTAGCCCTCTAGTGTCTAGGAAGATAATTTCAGATTTTGAGTAACTATGTGTAAAACAAATGGAGGGGTGCACAAAATTAAAAGCTCTAATGAACTCGAGAAGCTCCTCCTCCGAATGCGACCAGATATTTCTTATCTGGTCGCATTCGGAGGAGGAGCTTCTCGGATCCAGTTATACCTGCCACCCCCCCCCCCCCCCTAAGAAAATGGCGACCGCCAGTGTTGCTTGATGGGTTTTTCAAAAAAGCTTGGTGGTGGGTGCTGATTGCAGATACAGACTTGCAGCATTTGAGCTGCAGTCACTGACAAGTTACAACCCAAGATACGCAGGGCGTGGTGAGTCACCAACATCTCATTAACGCTCCACAGTCAACGAGATTGTGGTGGAACGACGAAGTGAAAATCCCGACGCAAAAAAAAACAAAAAAACATAAACATAACATGTGACCATGGTGCCAAATGTAACCTTTTCTATTGCGTGCAGAAACAACCGTCAGAATTGGAAGAGCGATTGTTGTTCCTCGTTCTTCTGTCCTGTCGCGCGTGTGTCTCTCTTCAACTGCCCTCGGTTGGCGCTAAGATACGCAGATGCAAGCATTGGGGTCAAGGATAAGAGACACAATTGTTACTTGATGTTTGTATGAAAGGTCAACGCGCATCAGTTGAAAATGTTGGCGTGACTTTAACTTGATCGGTAGTTATGCAAATACCAGCTGGCCTCAGATAAAAAAGCGATAGTGCAGCTGCCCGCTTCGGCACGCGGAGAGCAGAATATTTAGCACACATATCACATGAATCGTGAGTGAACAAAGGACATGGATGTTCACATTGCACTCCTGCTTGCTATTTCACTTGGAGCGTCGTTCGGTGGTAAGTGGTTGTTTTGTTGAAGCGCTTAACATCATCCACAGAACAGGAAAATTAGTTTGTGTGTGCGATTCGTGGTTGTCTTTTCTGAGCTCAGTTCTCACCGTTTGAAATCATGTTCCACTAACTAGCCCAAGGTTCAGTCTTTAAAAAAAAAGAAAACATTTACAGGCATCTATGGGGTTAAGATGTTTGTTAACATTCCGGTTGTGTGTACTCTACTATTCATCACGTCACTCCTTGCACAGAAGTGAAAAATCACGTGATAACTGCGAGCATGCAAATTCTCAGGGGCCCAAAAAGAATCCAATACCTCGCACAAGACATAACGTGCAACTTTCGCGTCCAAAGGTCATCGCTAGTGGTCCACGCAGCGCCATGTACCATATGCGTCAACTTTTCCGACATCGCGTATTGTAGCGTTTCACAACGAGCGTGAGGCTAGCACGCGGCGACGCCAAGACAAAGCGTCTGGCGCCTTTCGGCGGCTCTCGCCAAGCTTTAGCGGTTTCCCACTCCGGGTGGGTGGGAGATGCATTAACGATGACGTCATTCGCAGGCCTTGCCTTCTAAATAGTATTGCCTCATCACGGGGGACCGAACCGCCACTCACACACTCTGCTAGCTATCGTCAAGGCCTCCGATGCACTTGTTAGTCCCCAATCCCACGAAAAAAAGTGAGGGGAAGAAACGACAGCAAAGAGGCGAGGAGGAAAGCCGTGCTGTTTTCGTAGCAGATGTCCAAACTAGAAACGAACGTGCGTTTTCATATTTTCACGTTTTTTGAGAAAAGTGTACCCTTTTTTTTTTTTCTGCCGTGACGGCATTTGGTGTATCCTGTTAAGACAGCCCTTGATAAAATGGTCAGCCCGACGCAGCCACCCGGGTAGCACAGTTTTTGTGCTCAAATTATTTTTTTGTAATTTAGGGATTTAAAAATCCCGATGAAGCGAAGGTAGAGGCAAACTTCACCTTTAGCAAGAGTCTGTTTAACTTATCCCTAATTCGCCAATCAATTAAGTGCCGAAGTTAAGCGTCGCTGCTGATAGTCTGGCTGTCATCCTGGGCCTACATCTCCAAACAAGTGCCCTATTTAGGCTTCACTGCCGGTTCGTCAGTTTATACATGGCATCTTTGATTCAAGTCTGGCACTTTGGCAATTATCTGGCGAACCAGAAAATAGTCACAGAAACACCAAAGAAAAGTGCTTTAGCACTAACTAGCGCCTTGGAGCAATGCCGTATTAGGCTCAACATAGACCCTAAGAATAGGCAACCTGCAATGCTGTTTGGTTTTGCGCCATCTAGTGGCTGAAGCAAGAAATATTAGGTACCCCTGGGAGTGGCGGCTGCATTGTTCAAACGTGAGCTTTTACTCTGGTGGCGCCGCTTAGCCTAGTGTCTGAAGCAAGAAATACTGGGTATCCCAGGAAGCCGTGATCGCGTAACGTGCCAGTAGAGCGGAGGCTACGGCCCTGGCGGGCCAATCGGAACGTGACTGCCTGTCGCCGGAGCGCGCTTTAACTCCGAAGAAGTATCAGGCTTTTCGCTGCGTCATGCTCCAATATGTGTGCGTTGCGCTCGTATACGTCGCGCATTTCGAAGCCTTCGGCACGCAATGTGGGGCTTATCGTTTACCCTTTGCCAAGTTACAACGAGATAGTGTATAACCGTGCGTTCTCACCCTGCTGGCGCCGCCTGGCCGTTGCCGGTTGGCTATTGCCAAACACGTGTCAAGTTCGGTGTTTCTTTGACGTGCTACCTGGGCGGCTCGGTAAAACTGAAGACATGTTTCTGGTAACTGGCGTCGGCTTCTGGCAATAGCAGACAGAAGGCAGACGGTGGCTTCACACAGCACTATACGCTTACACTGTGCAGTGGGCGGACGACATGATACAGCAAGATACACGCTGGAAATGTGCATATGACGTGATCACTGATGCAACTTAACCCGACTCGTCGTTCTGCCCTGACCAGCGAGCGCTTCGGATAAGATTTCGTTGTAATATTGCTTGTAACGTATCAATTAGAGCCGCTGCATAGAAGTGTCTTACATGATTGCGGATTGACTTTATGTGGGCACAAAGAAAAACAATTAAAATTAAATTTGCAAACACTGGCGATGAAAACAGAGTTCATCCGTTAGGGAATAAGTATTCACGACTATACAAAGGGGATCAAATTCTTACGCTTGTCATATTTTAACCGCCGGTCTGGTGCCCCATTATTCATTGTAGGTCAGCATTTCCATTTGCATTGTGTTTATGTGACACATTTTCTTTCGTTTTATTCGCCCAGTGAAACTACGCCTATTGTTTGAAACGATCAGAGATCGTAGTTTTTATTATCTGCAGCATACACTCTGAAGTGCGCTGCTCTGAAACTTTGTAGGAGTTACTTGTTTGTTTTGCCTTGGCGTGCATCTAAGAACAATGGATAGAATTGCAACAAAACTAGCTCCTCGTAGTTGATGGCCAGCGAAGTCGAAATCAAGTGAAATAACAAACGACTCAGTAAAAATGCAAGATGTTTAAGCTTTATGATTGAACTTTCGCTCAAAAATTGGATAACTTCCAGGCCCGAAAAATTGTGCTAAGTGTTATGCTTTGTAAACTGCCTATTGTTCATTGTGATACATCCACACGAGCGTGCACAAAAGGCTTCTTCCATTGTTCACTTTCAAAGATAAGAGCAGTTTATAATTTTAGTATCTTCTTGAGTGCATGATCCGTTTAGCGTAGCCGAGATGGTAAAAAAGGTACCATATATATATATCAGGGTGTCGAACCGGAACCGAACCGAACCGAAAACCGGAACCGAACCGGTATTTTTTCCGGAACTGAACCCAAACCTGAACCGTTATATTGTTATCGCGATGAACCCGAATCGGGACTGAACCGGAAAAAAAATAACGGTTACCGGCTTATGTCAAAACGGTTCGGCCACGCGCTGTTGACAATGAATGTGCTATCAATGACATTTGTTTTTTAAGTGCCGTCAACTGACACACACCTCGCTTACATATTTTTCTTCTCCACTCACTCTTACGAATATAAACGCTGCATCCATGAATCTTGACATAGGAACCAGTATTGCGCTGGTCGCGGCTTGCACGGAAGAAAGAGAATTGGAAGGCTGTGCAAAAAAAAAAAAAAAAAAAAAAAAAAGAAAAATCGCGCCACGGGATTTCATTTTCCTACAATCTCGTAAATCCTAAATGCTGCTGTGTGCTCATTTCATAACACGTTTCTAGAACGCGCGAGTTCTTGAAGCTTGCTTCCATCGGAATGAGAAAAGAAAAGGCTGTGGTGTTTGATAATAATGCATCCGGTTTCGTATAGGCACTTAGAAGCTAACATATTTGTGAGACAGCGAACTCTTCTATTTTAATATTTATCCTATAACGTCCTTCTGGCGTTGCGTTCGGTAAAGTGTTTTTCATATTCCGTATCTTGTTTAATAAAAACTTCTTTAAGGGTCTAATTTGAGTTACCGAAGGCTAGTTCAAATAAAGAAAGCTGTATTTTCTCCTCACTGTTCCTTCAATTGCTTACACGCCGAGGTGGCGGGATAGTTAGCGAGTTCTACTTGTAAGTGGGTCTGTAAGGAAGTCGCGGATTTTACAGCTACTGCGTCGGGCCCAGTTAGATGAAGTCCGAATGCGTAAACGTCGGTGAGGTAACCTTTGAGTGCACATAAAGAAACCATTCCTGGTAGAAATCCCTGAGCCTTACACTACGATGTATCCCGTTTCGTATGTGCTGATTTCAGATGTTTTATTTGTAATTTATTTTGATGTTGCCATTTGTCATTTATAATTTCCGAACCGGTTCGCGAACCGGTTCAGCGCCCCGAACCGGTTCGCGAACCGGTTCGCAGATCGAATTAATCAAACCGGAACTGAACCGGAACAAAATAAATTTACCTGAACCTGAACCGTAACCGAACCCGTATTTTTTTCGCTTCGACACACTGATATATATATATATATATATACGAATGTAGCCATACAGAAATGCCCTGGCCATATGAAGGTTTGGGCAAGGTCATAAACACCCGTACAAAAATGCAAAGTGTGGTCTTAAATTAAAAAAAAAGATAATCCATATATGAGCATGTACATATTTCGGCTAATTAGTTTATATATATCGTATGGGGCCCTATTTGGCCAATTCTTGACATGAAACCATATGGCATATGCCATATCGCCTTATGTGTCATATGGCAAAAATTCCATACGGCATTTTTGTAAGGGTAGTTACTGATATAAATGCATGAATCTTTTAAAATGCGGAAGCTAATTAAAACAACTTATTTACCATACATTTTTTCATAAAAAAAATAATTAAATTTTTTTCTGGATAATATTCTTATAAAAAAAAAACTCATAACGTTCTTATAAATGTTTCAATCGTATACTTCATATAAAGCGCAGCCATAAAAAGATAAAAAGGGGCCCTATTTGGAAAGATAATTTCTCCTTATTATAGACGTAATGGAAAAACAATGTCCTGAACAGACGTCGCATATTGAACCTTCGATAACCATATGGGATTTCTTTATTTCACAACGGACAGCGCCGCTTCTAGAACGCGTCGTCTATCCCAAGCTTCTGGAAGCGAGAGGCACCAATGGAGAAAAGTTACTGCGTATCGAAGAGGAGCTCCAACTCACCCTCGAAAAAAGCACAGTCCTAGCCGAAGATTTTGTCTTGGTTCAAGGCAACGGAAGAGAACAACATGTAAGTATATCTAACATACGAATTAGGTTATTTATTCATTAATTCTCCAATTAGTGACTAATGTGTACTGAGCATGTCATTTTTTGTGCTCCAATAAAGATATATTTCACAAGACACTCTCCATCTTAACATTTCAGATGAGCGGTAAGGAGCTGGAAAAAAATATGTACCATGACAGGCATCACATGTCAGCACTTTCTATAAAGGACGTGGAAGGGAGACTGGAGGTGGTAAGGTCACTCGTGATGGTATTTTAGCTGATCACTTTAAAGATCAATCTGGGTGACTCACGAAACATATTTTGAAATTAATTACTGCCAACGGATCGTCATGCAGCAAAATTGAGTGCCGTTTAATTGAAATATAATTTGATTTAGCGTTTCTAAATCTGAAAATGTTCGCATTACAAATTTGCAGAGAGGGGTACTGAGCAAGGTTCTAAAGATAGAACCTTTGCTATTGAACGTGAGTTCTGAAAATGGAAATATCGCACACAAAGTAACCAAGATTGAGAATGCAGATAATTACGAGCACGATTACACAGGTAAGACTGACGCTGCATCTATTTCTTGCGCGGTCTTGTTTAAAGTATTATGACCTTTGTTAGGAAGGTGGCTGAACTTCGGAATAACTTAAAAACCATTGAACAATACAGAAGATAAAAACACATGAGACTTAATGACCGAAAAGGTATTTAGCGATGACGAACGGAAGGTACACAACAGCACCTAAAATTAGCGCTTATATTTTTTACGAGTATTTTGTGACGGATTTTCCAAGTTCTACAATTAAATGAGGTGTTTGTGTGTGACAATTTGTTCCGACAATATCTATGTTGTGCTAGCATTTGTAGTTTCTATTTGCACACGTTCATTACTTCCGTTATATTGACACTATAAGGGTTAACGCGCTGCTGCGAAGATCACCGGAGTTTCAGTTCAGTTCCGAGCCCACAGAGACAAAAGAGAACCTAGGCGGGTCCAGATTTGTATGTAACGCGTATCTTGCACATAGTTTTTTTTTCTTTTTGTTGGTAACGTAGAAGCGACCTCGCTCGCTAAACTCGACAAACATAAGGATTGCTCTGAAGTTGGTCGAGCGTGCTGATTGGGCTCTTACCACGCGACGGCGTCACGTGGGGCGAGGTGTCACTCATCCAAGCTCTTTCGGTGCTCAAATTCCAGCGAGACTGCGAAACAAAAAAGCGCAGCGAGCTTTATCGGAGCGCGCGCGAGCAACACCGTGGAACCAACCGATTGAACGGTTGTACTGATGACGTCGCGCCCTCGTGTCCCTGCATCCCAATGCCACGTTAGATTCAATTCATTGATGTCATTTATTAATCCCTTAAATGCCCGCGTGGGGCCTTACATAAGGAAGGCATACAGTCCTTTCATAGGGAGGGCACATTGGCCAAATGAAAGAAAGTTCACACAGACATTAACAATTAAAAAAGTGGGCTATAAGCCACAGAAGCTGTTGAGCGCTTTCCGGAATTTTGAAATATCAGATATCATTACTATTTAATCGGCTAGCTTGGTTCAATTGTTGATAGTAAGCTGCAAGAGAGGGAATTTAAGTGTATTAGACTTATGAATAGGTGAAAGTAGTTTTTAAGAATTATCTAGGCAAGGTGAGATGTGTGGTGCGGGCGTGCAGTAGAAATTATTTTCGAAAGGGAGGTGGTGGTAAAACTTGTGTAGTATGGTTAGGGCTGTTACGGTTCTGAGTGTTTTCAAAAGGGGGAAGCCAAGTTTTGTTTAAAGTGCGCTGACACTTATTGTAGAGTTATAATTACGATGGATAATTCGTACGGCATGGTGTTGAACAGCCTCTAACATTTCTTTCAAGAATAGTAGGTGATGGGGATTCCAGGCGGATGAGACGCACTAACTGGGGTCGAACAAGTGGGGTGTATGCCAGGAGTAAGTGTCTGGTTAGCCTCACTGATAATAGGAGTTATGTGACATTCCCATGAAGGATTTCTTGTTAGATGAAACCCAAGGTACTTGTAGCTCGGTAATTTTCTGATTTTACCGGAGTGGCAATAGCAGAAGTCAATTGCGCATTTTTTGTGATAAAGGACATAATTATGTTTGGTTCTGTTTGCATTGATTTGCATTTGCCACCTTTTGCACCTGGATTCAATATGGTTTAGATCAGCTTGGAGTTGCTCACACTCTGAGTGATTCGTTACCTTTTAGTACACGGCACAAACGTCAGCGTGGAGCCTAATTGTGGACTTGATGTGGGTCGGCAGATCATTTACAAAATTATAAATAACAAAGGACACAGTACGGTTCCCCGTGGTACTCCCGATTTTACTACTATTGAGGACAAGCAGCTATTATTTTGAAAAAATTGTAAGGGTGCAGGCGAGCTGGTGGAAGTTAACCATAGTTTTGTTTAACCCGAGACTGGAGTATTTCGGAAAAGGGACGAGAAGAAAAGAGGCCACAGGGAGGCGACGTCTCAAACACAGCTAAAGATTTTATTCCATCGTATGCACTTTTATACAGACCACGTCCACACACCACCAACCAAGTCGACCAATGACAACATAACACCCGGAATACACTAAGCCAAACATAGGCCCAAAACATTACAAAAGAAAAATCTTTCAGCCAGACAAAAGGACAAGATAAGCCTCCGACTACACAAAGTCAACAAAGAACCGTTAAAAGATTTTTCCAAACCCTCTTTCAAGTGTGTAGTTGAGGTTGGAACTTTTGCATTCTCCCCTTTGTGTATTTTGGTTCAAGGTTACCCTCTTCCGCTTTCCTTCAATGTGTAGTGTGGGTTAAAATGACCGGTTGCCGTTTCTTTTTTTTTTTTTTTGCTTTACGGTGACTAAGTACCGGCTAGTTTAATGGTTTGTTGCTTGGCTTTGTGTAATTAGGTCTTGTATGCCCTCTTTCCCTTTGGTTCCGTGTGTTTGCGGGTTTGAAAAAACCTTTTAACGGTTCTTTGTTGACTTTGTGTAGTCGGAGGCTTATCTTGTCCTTTTGTCTGGCTGAAAGATTTTTCTTTTGTAATGCTTTGGGCCTATGTTTGGCTTAGTGTATTCCGGGTGTTATGTTGTCATTGGTCGACTTGGTTGGTGGTGTGTGGACGTGGTCTGTATAAAAGTGCATACGATGGAATAAAATCTTTAGCTGTGTTTGAGATGTCGCCTCCTTGTAGCCTCTTTTCTTCTCGTCCCTTTTCCGAAATACCCCAGTCTCGGGTTAAACAAAACTACAGCTATTATTGAAAGTGATGTATTGTGTTCGCCCCGAGGAGGCAAAAGAAAATGAGCTACCTAATTGACTCGAATTTCTTTTTTTTCTTTTTTTTTTTTTGGGGGGGGGGGGGTAGCGTAGTTTTAGTATTAATCTTTGGTGAGGAACCTTATGAAACGCCCCTGAAAAGTCAAAGCTGTATAGAATGTCCCTAGGCGGGCTGCGAATACTCTGACCTTCCTCGTCGCAAGATCGTCGTTTCTGCCAGTTACCGGTGACGACAAAGTGACGTTTCACAACTTTGGGCAGGAGTTATCTGAGACCAAAATCTTCGTTTTAAAATCAAGGCGAACATTCAACTTTGTGATATTGTGGAGCGGTGCGCGGTGTACGCGGCTTCAGAGCTCATCTTTCCGCCTCCGTCAACAGCGCTACTGGGCTCACTGAGAGGCGGTGGGGGTAGTGGCGTCCGAAGTGTTTGACGACGGGGGATGGCACGGAAAAGCTGGCGGAAGGGGAATAGGGGAGGGGGGGGGGGGGGAGGGGGGAGGGGTGTTACGACCACCACAACAAAATAAAAAAAAAAAAAAAAACATAGAGAGGGGGGGAGGGGGCGTTAGGGGGCGGGGGAGTATAAATTTTTTTGGGAGAGATAGGGGGCGATGGGAGTGAGAAAGGGGTGACAAGGGGGATTTCTCTTCCCCGAATGTTTTATAATAAATTTCTGAAATGTCTGGGGCTCGGGCGATTGCCTTCCCCCCCCCCCTCTCTTACCCAGTCTTGGGTAAGTTACTTTTAAAAAGTAATTCGTTACAGTTACAGTTACTTTCAGAAAAAAAGTAGTGAAGTTACCATTACAGTTACCGCAACAAAGAAGTAACTCGTTACAGTTACAGTTACTTTTAAAAAGTAACGACGTTACTTTTCAGTTACTTTTTCTATAACAGAAAAAAAATTAAGAAAATCTAGAAAATGCGTTTCACCAAGTTTATTTGCATAAAATTAAAAAGTGTGCTTTTTACTTTGTATTGTAAGTTAGCAGGAGTTGCTTCCCGAAATTAGTTTCTGAAAGTTTCCCTTGTTTGATAACGAACACGTCCCTGCCCTTGTTGAACAGGCGCTCGTCTAACGCGCTAGATGGGAATGCAGTGTTGTTTCGCCGGAAAAGGTTTTTGATTGCCGGGTAGGCGGTGAGGCAATAGAGTGCCGTTTTCTGCGGTCAAGGTGTTAGTAGCCTCCTCCACGTCAGCAAAATACTCTCTGTACGCCGGCCATGGTAGTTTTTCTTTGTTCTTATCAACATTCATAGCCTTGATAGCACTAGCACATTGCTGGCTCGTTGACGGTTGTGTTGGGTTCATAAAGTACCTGGACATATTTCAGTTTGTACCCGGCAAGCTAGAAACAAATCCCGCGCTAACAGCAGTAAATTTTGCCTCGACTGTAGACACTACACCGGATTAATGGCGCAAATCAAAATACGAAACATGCGCAGTGCGGAGTGGCGGCGCTAATCGAAATACGAAACATCCGCAGTGCCCTCCGCATGTATTGTTGTTTCATGTTTGATTCACCCGATTAAAAAGCGTTTGCGCAGAAAAAAAGAAAAACCGCGAAAGAGATAGTTCTTCAAGACACTAAGATTCAAGTGTTCAGTGACAAAGTACAAGCGCATGCTAAAGATAACTACATTTTTTTTTCACCAAACCTGCACGTGGCTATATTCGGGTCGTGACTGGCGAGAAAGAACGTATTCACAAGTCTGTGCAAAAAATAACTTGACACTCGAAATGTCGGAAGAGACTATTTGGAAAGCGCAAAAAATGGCTAACTTGTACCCTCGTTCAGTGATATATTATTCATAAAGAACTGAAAAGTAACGACAAAAGTAACGTCGTTACTTTCATCGTTGCCTCATTAAAAGTAATAGAACTACAGTTAAAAGTTACATTTTTAAAAAGTAACTCGTTACAGTTAAAAGTTACCAAAAAAGTAACGAAATTACAGTAACGCGTTACTACCCAAGACTGCTCTTACCCCTTATGTCCCTTACCCCCTCTTTTTACACAACTAGGGCACCGGGGGGGGGGGGGGGGGCGTGAATCGGCCTGTCCGTAGTCATGTTTTGACGCCTCTGCTAAGAGACGTTTCAACTGAGCGACGACGAGCAACAGCATGTCCTGCAATTTTCCTAATAATGTTTAAAGAGGTTCTGGAATAAAAACGGTTCGCGTTCCATGACCTCTCGAGCAGGCCATGAGAGATTTCGTGCCAGGGCTCGTTGTGTGCGGCGCTTTCAGCGGCGTCTTTTATAGTTCCTACC